CATAGCCCTCCGCAGTTAAAGGCCCGGATTTGGTAGATTATTTTCTCACTTTCCCTCTTTCTCTCTCTGGTCAAATAAAATAATAATACTACTACAATTCAATAATTAAATAAAGTTTTTGTTTTTTCAAAAAACGAAAGAAAGAGGGAGGAGATACCATCAGGGTGACTGGCTGTCTTGGTTTGCTTGGGACTGTATTGGCTTTAGCACTGAGACTAATGTCCTAGGAAATCCTTCATTTCCTGGCAAATAGACATTTTACCAAGAGAATATTTATAACAATTGTTTGTCAATAAGTTTTAAATAAATATCCTAAACAATATCAGCTAGTTTAATCCAGTGATACATGAAAAACAATGAGTTATTCCAGTAATTCAAAGTAATTTCAACAATAAAAAATTATCACATTAACAGAAAGGAGAAAAACCATGTGATTATTTCAATAAATGTTGAAAAAATTGAAAAATGTAAACACTTACTTTAAAATAAAAATATAAGAGCTAGGGCTAGAAGGGAGCTTTCTTAAACTGATGATTGATATCTACAAAAACAAGCAAACCTCAGGAACCAGCAGTTAGCATAATGGCTATGTTGCTGGACTCCCACGTAGTCGACCGCGGTTCACGTCCCGGACCCGGTGGCTTAAAACTCACGCCGGGCGCATGTGCATGCGTGCCCAAGATCCCGGGAGGAGAATGGAGGAGAAGGGATTGCAGCGTGACCATCCCCCCTGGGGTGTGATTTCTTGCTTTCTGTCTCTATGTCTCTCTCTGTCTGGTGAGCGCACGCGCCCTATAGTGAAAAAAAAAAAACCTCTCAAAAAAACAAAACAAAACAAAACAAAAAAACCCAAGCAAACCCTCAAAGCAAACAGAATATTACACGGTGAAATAGTAAAAGCATGCAAATGAGACAAGGATGTCTGCCATCACTACTATTCAGTAGTGCTTGAAATACTAGTTAGTGCAATAAGTGAAGTAAACAAATTAAAAATGCAAGACTTTAAAAAATAAATAAAACTCATTATTTACAGAGGACAAGTTTGGGTAAGGTGGAAATACAAAAAAACCCTTATAATAATTAGAATTAGTAAATTTCTCAGTCACAGGATATGAAGATATTAATGCAAAACAATCATTATGCAACACACAACTAGAAAAATATTTTAAAAAGGTCAATACAGTTGGGGCCAGCAGGTGGTATAGTGGCTATGGTGCTGGGCTCTCATGTGGCCAACTGTAGTTCGAGTCCCGGACCCAGTAGCTTGAAATTCACGCTAGGCACGTATGCACTCGTGCCAAAAATCCTGAGAGGAGAATGGAGAAGGGATTGTGGTGTGGTCATTCCCCCAGGGAGTGATTGCTTGCTTTCTGTCTCTGTCTCTCCAGTGAGCACATGTGCCCTGTAGCAAACATCTCTCTCCAATAAACAAATATATAAACCTTATTAATATTAGAAACTCTCGTGCCTCAAAAGACCATCAAGAGAATGAAAAGTCACCCTACAGAATGGGAAAAAACATTTACATAATTGATAAGTTTTTTTTTTTTTTTTGAGAGGTTTTTGCTATAGAGAGCGTGCGCTCGCCAGAAAGACGAGAGAGAAAGAGACAGAAAGCAAGACACTCGGGCTGACACTTATGAACGGCGCAGCACGTGGCAGGGTCTTCAGATCATGCCAACCCGTCGTTACAACAGGCCCCGAAGTGGGTTCGGTTAGCTTTTCACAGATGACAGAGCCTGTTCCTTGGAGACGGGGAATGGCTTCCCCCGGCCACTGGACCTTAAGCAGTTGGGTGGGACCAAACGACTCTTCCGCTCGGGTGAAAGTAAGTTCACGTAACAGAAAACGGCATCCACGACGGCCGCCCAGGATTCTGCTCCCGAGGCCACCGGACTTCCGGCGGAAGTTCCCTCTGGAGACGGGGTCTCCGGTCTGTCCTGGCCCCGCCCCTCTCCTCTCCCAATCCGTAGCGCCGTCCACTGAGCCAATGGCAACTTCTCTTCTTGCCAGGACGAAGACTCGCCGTCCAATGAGCGAGTGTCGGCGTCGCTCGGCAACAGCGTCCTGGACTGGCCCGGCGGCTGGGGCTCGGCGGCGCACGGCCGGGTCGGTGCGCAGGTGTGAGCTCTGAGAGGCGGAGAAGCGCGCCGGGCCCGGG